AGCGGGCCAATATAAGTTTTGAAAAGCCCGCGCCCGCTAACTTTCTGATTGGTCAAGGCGCTGACGTCATAACCAATCAATCGAAGATAAAACTGCGCGAGCAATTTTTCTAAACTCATTTCAATCATTTTCAAACCATTTGTTTGTCAATTCTATAAGAAAACGGTATTCTCTGACCAGTCTACATCATCATAGGCATGTTATAAATCGTTTATGTCACTATCGTGGCATATATGCCCGAGGTCTCAGTGATATATGGCCCGACCTTGGGAGGGACATTCTCTGAGAACCTCTAAATATTATGCCTTTTGCGCTTTCAGCACATGGCTTGGATCCGAAATATGCTGACCATCAGTTACACATGTTGTTATGACGTGCACGGACCTGGGGACAATGCGAGAAATGCGGGCTAATCTCAGCTTTGAGCGTTAATCTCTGCCTTATTTAAAAAAGCTAACTATGTGTTTAATATACCATTTTGAAGTATTTTTTATTCGCATTTCAGTGATATCATTTTCCTTCAAGATTTTGATGGGATCTAACATATTTTTAAAGTTAAATATACCCCGACATCGTCAAATACGCTGTAAGACGTAACACTTTACGCTTACACGGTTCGTTGATATTGGGATAACTTTTGAAATAATGATCGGAATCCAACTAAAATTTCACAATTTATTCAATGGAAGGTGTGCATTTATGACGTCACAATTGTGTAACGGCTACAGTTCAAATTGTCTTATATGAACGCTTTTAAAATTTTCAAAATTGTGTAAGGTTTTGAAGGCGAAGGGGGCGGGCAATAAGTTTACCTTCATTTAACCTTCTAATTTAAGTCTGATTTGAAAGAAAAATTAACTGCACAATATTGTCACGGCGAAATTAACAAAACAATAACCGATTTGTTTATTTTACAAATAATATTGAACTAAGAGCTGATTTTTGAGACTTGAAAAAAATGTGACGCATCGATTTTTTACCACAAATTCAATACATATCAATTTTTACTAACGTCCCAAGTGGATTTCCTGACCGTTTTTCAAAATTCAAAAACATTTTAGAAATATTGTCCTCGAGATCTTGCTACCCTGTGAATTTTACCTTGATTAAATAAGGATAAAGTATTTTATTTTTAGGTTGACTAAACTTGATAAAAATGTGACGCTTGTCGTTTTTGACGTCGCAAGGCTCTTTGCGCCCTGTGCTGCTCATTGTTTTGTTTTGGTATTTTGACGCCATAATGTTACGCTAATTGTCCCCAGTTTCGTGCGACGTGTATGTGTCCTTTTACAAGTTACTTCTAAAGTACATATTCAACTGCATGAGAAGAACGATCAAAATTGTGAAATTGGCAAATTGATTATTGCGTTCATTTGCCTCTTTGAATTAGGTATTGTACTTCAATTCTGCTTGTAAATAGGCTGTGAATTGTGATGTCCACTACTTGGGCCAGAAATTAATTAATTTTTGTGTGTTAACAGTTTCATCCGAGATTGTTTGTGAATGCAAATGGAATGGTTTTCCATTATTAAACTGTTGGAGATGAAGGCAATGCTTTCTTGCAAGAATGGCATATTTAAGAGTACTGCAGAACTTTTAAAATCTAAGACTTACACGAATATTGAATCCCTGTGAAACAACAACCATGACCAAAAATAATACTTTTTGTGAACCTTTCAAATTCAACAGCAAGCATACGCTTTATATGTAACAGAATCAAAGTTGAGTTAAAATATTTAGAAATAACTTTGCGTGAATTTTGGTGATTACATTAAGATACAAGTAAAGGATAGCACCCATGTAAAACAAGCGGGGGATTACTTTCAGTCTCAAATGTAAGAAAAATGTAATCAAGTTAAAAAGAATTTTAATTTCAGTTATTTGATTTAGAAACCAATCGTAACAGATCTTTGATTCTCGAACCAATTTGATCAAAATCGACGAGTGAAATTCTTTTCATCGTTGTGTTTTACAATTGCCTCTGTACTAAATGGAACTTGTTAGTTTGCTTGTGTGGAGTTCTGTACGAAAAGATCTTTACTCAAATCGTTTTAATTGCATGTAAGAACAACTCACCCTGTCAAGGAACTTGTTTTACAACTTTTGGTGGCAAACACTATGAGGGGTGAATATTAATGAATCCATTCGTTCCACTTACAAAATCCAATCATAAGATGTAAGCGCTTTAGATGCTGGCGCAGAATACCATTAAATAGCAATATCAAGAATAAGTGGTAAGTACAAATGTGTAATAATATTGTTTGTCTGAAATTTTTTAAACAAGGCATTAACATGCAAAACGTCACCACCCACCATTTGTTACAGACCGATTGCCGAACACCAACCGAACCAAACTTGCAATGTGTTCACTGAAACTTCGAAGGGCCTAGTATAAAACTTATAAAAAACAGAATGTTTCCATGATATCTTTTTCTACATCTTGACTTGAAAGCCAACGAGAGCTCAGTATTGTCATTCTACTTAATACCCTTACTTTAGCACTTCGAAAAAAGACATTCATCTAACTTCAAATATAAAACGAACTGTTTCCGGCGCATCCGTACTTTAATGATTGAATTCATTGATGAGTAGTAAAAGAAACATTTCAAAGAGAGGGGGATCAGGCTATATCCTTACTAATCCAGTAGCGATCTAGGATTATCTCTTTCAGGAGGTACGCTACTGTAACAAATGAGACCAATTTTATTGATTTTTGACTAGGTAATTATAGAAGAAATATGTTTCAGTGGCAGTATAGCACGACAAATCAAATATTTCAAGATTTCCTATTGTTCAGAAAGAATAACATACAGGGAGGTCAAACATGATATGACACTTTTTATGAACACAATAACATAACTAACTTTAACTTTTCTGATAACCTAGTGAAATCAACTATAAAGTAGGTATCTAAATATGATAAACTTAATGCCTTTTTGAAATTAAATATGTCACCTAAAATGAGATGTCCCACGACTGTATAATATCAAATTATCTTGGACACTGAATACGACTCGATAAAAGGTGGTGTTTTTGGAGCACCCTGTAGCAAAGAATTCGATACTAATATGGTATTTTTTTGCAAATTGTTTCGCAAGAAAACACAATCTTGTCTTGCTATAGAGAACACAATTCAAAATGTTTTCACGGGTGGAGAAAAGTAAATGCCAAGTCAATCAGGATTTACGTTTTAATGGCTTTTCAGTATTTTAAGTGAAAATTGGAAATGCTGATCAAATATTGAATAACTCAAGATAAATACAAAATATTTTGCCCAATGCTGCGGAATAATTCAGGATACGACCAACTGTAACACTGATAAACATGCAGAAACGGAAATGGCTGCCTTTGTATTTAAGGTTTCATCAATTTGGGGGAAGTCTAATATCTCTTCAAGTCATTCAAGTTTGAACAACATATGATTTATTCACATCCCTCCAAATCTTTCTTCTCGCTATACTAGTTATGCTTTTCTTACGCTTTAATGCGAAAAATTGCATCAAACTGAGTCATACAACCACTTGTCTACACGGATCGATTGGTTTGACTTCTGGCCACGTCATAATTACGCCAGGTAGATAGTAACGGTTAAATGACGCTCACTAACATTATCATGTTCTTTGCGTTGACCCTTAATCTACATGTTTACCCCGTGTACGTGTAATATCATCATGACCCATGGGGATTACTGTCGTCCTTATACTGTCGTTCAAGGTCCAAAATACAACTACTCTCTTATGCCTTTATACACAAGTTACACGTAATACCACGGAGGAGAGAACTTACCCCTACAAGTTCACGTACAATTCACTTAATTAAACAAGTATAGCTTAACCTCCCTATTATGATTATGTTGTGTGATGACGTTTTATTGCACTACGACGTCCTACACCGTGGGGTCATGTCCCAAAACCTATCGCCTGAAATCGACGTTGTGGGTGTGATTTCTCACTGCGCAATAATCTGACTTTAAGACGTGTGTGTGATGCTTATGTCTTTTTACACCATCTGACCTTAAAAGAACAATGTAATTAATTCTGTAATTCTCATCTTAAATAACCCCAAAATGTTTTAATTCATAATTATCAGTAAATTGCACCATCATCTAGCTTTATGATGTCTTGTGACGTCCCAATGCATCATTTAGTGTGGGAGTGTAGCAAGAATCTAAAATTAAAATCTAAAACTGACGAAGCAATTATAGACAGAAGAAGGTATACTACTCAATTTGATCTTCTTTTCTAGTTTTAGTCAAAAGGACATCCAAGAAATTTTCTACAAAACGTTGGTGACTGGCTTGGCTGATTATCTGACATTATGATTTATAAATCTTGTGATGAAGTCATAATGCCCCTGACATTATATTCATTGTTGAGACGTTCCACATTTTCTGACATTATATTGCTTGTTATGACATCCTAATGCACCATCGTCTGACATTGTATCGCTTGTGATGACGTCCCAATGCATCATTGTCTGACTCTGTATTGCTTGTGATGACGTATCAATGCACCATTGTCTGACATTGTATTGCTTGTAATGACGTCTCAATGCACCATTTTCTGACATCGTATCGCTTGAAATGACGTAACAATGCACCATTGTCTGATTCTGTATTGCTTGTTATGACATCCCTATGCACCATTGTCTGACATTGTATTGTATCAATGCACCATTTTCTAACATCGAATCGCTTAGGATGACGTATCAATGCACCATTTTCTAACTTCGAATCGCTTAGGATGACGTATCAATGCACCATTTCCTAACATTGTATTGCTTGTGATGACGTTTTGATGCACCATTTCCTGACATTTTATTGCTTGTTATGACATCCTCGATGCAGTATTTTCTGACATTGTATTGCTTGTAATGACATCCCAATGGACATGTGTCATCATATGACATTGATGATATGTGTGACAATATAATTTAACATCATTTTTATTGACGGCTTGTTATTAAGCATTTTTCACAATTATATCTCATATTGCTTACAGGAAAGGAACTTGTACTACGACTACTCTTACAACACCTCACGTCTATATCACTGAATCACAAATATACTTAACGGAATACGGCAAATACTATGGCTAGATTTGTTGTTCTGGCGTGTGTTCTGCTTGCTGTGACTATTGAAGCACTGAGTACGGATCAACAGGTAATGTTCTCCAACCATTTTGTGTTTACACAAAAAAACAAATGGGATTCTTTTGCCATTATATAGATGCCACAAAATGATGAGAGTCGTTACTATGGTGGTCCAAAAATAGTATACTTTACGTAATTATTATTCCTTAGACAATAATGTCTTCGTGACGGTGTCATCATTTATAGATTTTCTGACAATGGTGACACGTCTTCATTCACTGTCAATATTTTGGTGATTGTTCTTTTATCGACTTAAGGAAGGATATGTGTAAATTAAATGATTCTGTATTTGTATTAAGTGATACTGAGATAATTGTCTGGTAATTTTAACAATTAAAAATGGTCTCGCCGCATTTTATGAATGGAACATCGTCAATAACATATTTTCAGCCATATCACATTCGATAATCAATTAAATTCTATAATCATCATTGTTTTGTATTCTTATCACGAGTGTTAAACAGCATCTACAGAAAATCTAACCTTTCTTTCCAATATAATGAATTGTTTTCTAAAAAAGGATTCACACATTTTGTGTATAGCACGTTTATGACATGTATGCCCTATAATACAAAAAATACAATTTTTCGAAATTTTTTTACTGAAACAATCTATCGTGGTCTATATGGTATGAATTTTTAAAATGGTAGTTTCAGTACACTGATAAATCAACTGATGAGGACTGTGCAATGTAGTATTCTATTGTAGTAAATGTGATGGAAGATCGGGATGAGCAATCACTGAGCCAATTACGTAATTGCTAATTAACAAAGGTCGACTGCGTAAATGTAATTGACTTTGACTGGAAAATAAGAAAATTAAGAAGTATTTTGACTAAAAAAGATACATACATATTGAAAACTGGAAACAAATTTATATTTACACGAATTGAGGATCTGTCATATGAAAAAACGCAACAGAGAAAACCTCAAATGTCAAAAAGCGACCGTTTTCTGTTTTATATCCGAAAAACGTTTAAATCATTTTCAAACTACAAAAATGACAGCTTCTAAAACGACCGTTCATAGATTTTCATATTAATTTATACTTTATAAATGTGTTTCGTTTGTCGAAACTGTGAAATCCTGAATGATTTTCAGATGATTTCTATGAAATAAAGAATGACTTTCTTAATTTGATGACAATGAATAATTAAAAGGATCAGTAAAAAATGTTTCGGGTTTTTATAATAAAGTCTAGACAAATGGATTAAAGGAACATGTTCCTAAGATTGGAACCGATTTTATCTAATTTGCCCACCTTTGTGTGACTTCTCCCGGTTGGTAATAGTAATATCGTAGACCTTAAATTATTTAATCTTTTCAGTAATTTCATGTGATGTTTTAGACCCACTTAAAACAGTTCGTCGAGACTTAAAACCTCACTTGTATTTCATTAGAGAATGGTACAACTTTTAATGAAAATCGTTTTAGTAATTGTTGAGAATGGCTTAAAAAAATCTCGGACAAAAGTGGCAGCCGTTTGGAAAATAGGTGAACTTTTGAATCGAAAGTCATATGGGAGTTTCTATAATGAACAAAAATGAATTAAAACTTCAATTGTTTATGGCCAGAAAGGTTTCTTAATCGTTCCACTATTGCTGACAGACAGACCAGTGGTTGACTGCAATCATGAGAGGCCATTCTCTAAGCTCAAAATAAAACCATCTGAAACTTTCTGATCGGACCTTAAGTGCAATACGGTCAATGTCTTTAAGTTTTAATTCACCCCAACATACGTTTAAGTTTACAGGTTATTAACTGATCAAGCATGCCAACTAAAAATAAATCTTGCAAGTTAAAGCAATACCTGTCATCTTGATGTGTAACAAATATTTAGACATCACATTTTTATCTTCTTTACACATGATATATTTTACGTAATTATAGATTTACTTTGCAACACTGGAATTCATTTCATTTCATTTATCGGGTCACCGCTTTATGAACACCTCGCATTAACAAACACCATGTGATAGACTCGAAAATATGAATCTGTGAGGAGCGTGAAGCACTTTGACACGTAAAGAATACCATTAATCATGTTATCAATTTATATTCGTACTCTTCGACTTGTGGCTTATGCCCCTTGGTGACATCTAGCCTTACTGTAAATCATTCATTTCCCAGTGTTACGAAATCGTTCCCAAATCGTTACGTACTAGAATATAGAATTTTTGATTGGTGCTAAATTTAGCTGTAGTATGTTTATATACTTGATTGCGATTGATAGTTTATCGTATATTCGATATAAATTGATATGTATACATACATGTATACAAGCCACCCACGTCATGAAACTAGATCAATTTCGATTGTACACTCCCCTCTAAATGTTAAAGCCGGAAGTCCCCATTTTATTATCACAGTGTCAAAGCCTGCATTTGGAGATTTTACCAGACTTTCCGTGGGGGTGTACGTTCAATAAGCTGACGTGAAGTAAGTCTGTATCTTCAATGGATATGTTAGCATAAGAAATTAGCACAATATCCATTCGGTTCCGTGCCTCTAGTTACCGTGACAACGATTTGTTCACAGAGGAAGAAAATAAAAGTACTTTGAAGTCCAGAGGCGCAAGAATTTAATAGTGAATATAAGATAAATATTATTAGAAATGTACTGTTGTTATTCGACGAGTATAACCATAATAGACTACCATAATTAGTCGAAGTTGATTAAATATTGCATGCAAATCAAATAATAGAGTGTCTTCTACAATGTACAGAAATAACATATGTAGAGAAGACAAACTACATGTATGAAAATGTCAACATTTGCTAAATTCTCAAGCCTAAAGTACATGCTGTTTATCGCATCCTACGACCCCTTAAAGTGGTCGTAGAATTCGATAACATGCTATACGTGCTATGGAGAATAGTTTAAGGCAGTCATATTTCTGATTATGGTTACATTCCGACCATACGCGCTTTCATTAAAATATGTTTCCCCGAAATAAATTTAAGCTTTTAGCACAATAAAAATATCAATCCAACTCTCCAAAAAACCATCGATTGGGATCCCTTGTGGACACATTTCCAAAATGTCGGATTTATTTTCTCAAAAGAGGGACCTCCTTTTTATATTTACCATATAAGGAATTTCTTCTGCACTAAAGGGGGGGGGGGGGGGCGCTGTTGAAATGTGGTAAAGTTGGTAAAATTTGCAATCCTTTGTTTCAACTTAATTTTGGTCACCAGATATCTCCACATCAGACTTTTGACGTATTTTCACATTCATAAGTAAAACTTATAAATGTGAAAATACGTCAAAAGTCTGATGTATGCTGTGGTCGATTGCCGTAGTGCGTGTATAGTAATGTAAATGTTCGTTCAATCATCTTCATTTGTCATTTGATCATAATAAGTTATAGTTTCCGACAATTGTTTAAGTTCCACAAAGAGAGATTATGAGCCTAGTTACAAAACTGCAAGAACCACGAGTCATGCGAGGCCTAGTTCACCCTATGCAGACAGAGCCTGTGGGAAATATTGGGTGCGGCGCAAATGAGCGGAGGGTGCGGATCTAACGGTCATTTTTGAATTTAAAATTGGGATATTTCTGAAACTAAGCCGTTTTGGGACTTCAAATATACCAAGATATGTGTATTTGACACCAAATATCAATAAAATTGTGAAAATAGTAGTGCAATTCATTTTATAGCGACGCAGTATGCCTTAAACATTTCCCAGACCTATATATTTTGAGACTATCCTTTTAATACTGCGTCCACAGCATTCATAAAAAATGGTGTTCAAGATACACTTCCCATGCAAATTATTTTTGCATCTTAGTCTGGGAGCAAAAGTCCAAATAAGAGGTTCCGTGTCCTTTTTAGAGGCGAGCTAAGCGACATACATTTTTATGAACTATACGTGATACTTACCAAGAAAAATGATGTTGGCAATTCTGGATCCGCGACGGCGTTGCTATGGTAACCAAGTGAATAAGCCATGCCCACTTATAGGGTCTCTTTTCAGTGTTTGGCCCCTATCTCCTTCATTATTGCTCAGATTTCGATGAAATTCACAACAAATGGAAGGTAATTGATAATGCAATCAAAATATATTAAGTTGGCAATTCTGAATCCGCGGCAGCGTCACTATGGTAACAAAGTAAATATGCCACACCCACTTTTAGGGGCTCTTTTCAGTGTTTGGCCCATATTTTCGTCATTATTGCTCAGCTTTAATTGAAATTTGCACCAAATGAAAGGTAATAGATAATGCAATCATATATTTTATAAAATATGCAATAAGGATGATTTGCATCTTAATTATGACGTCATAACTGTTTGTTCTTGCATATTTTATCTTAATCATGATGTATAACTCTGTGAAATTACTGTCTTTAAAATGGTCAGTAATGCTTTCAACTAGTTTATTTCTTTTAGTTGAGTTTATATGTTTATTTCATTCATACATTTATGGTCATAGAAAAATTGAATAAATGTAATGAAAGATGTCTAATTCAAATAAAAAATGTTCAATTCACACTGTTGCTATGGTAACATCATGTAGCAAAACGATCCGCTGTAAACAAGAATTCTTTAGGAAATGTTACATTTTGACCAGTTGACTGACATGTATTCTTTTTAATATTTTGATGACAAAATAATCTAATAACTATAGAAAATTATTTAATTTGGATTGTGTTATATTATTATGTCATAAGGGCAATCATTGATCAGGGGTGCAGCCAGCTTTCAGTCGAGCGGGGGGGGGGGGGGGCGATTGTGGCATAAGCAACCCAAAAATGTTTTTAAGATGAATTTTACAAAAATTGATGCAACTTCCTTCAAAATTGAGCTAGAAGCTTCAAGTCAAAAGCATTTTAACCCAATAATGACAACAGATTGAATGCATTAGTATTTTTTAAAAATAATTTTTATGTTTTTCTAACCTGGGTAGCATAACTAAAATTAGTTTTTGTTCTAGAGGCATCCCAAATATGGGACATAGACACAAGTGCGCATGATAACATTTTGGGTTAAGAGGTTATGATTTCGGAATTG